CTTCTGGGGGAGGGGCCTGTTGCCGCGGTTCCGAAATGTCTTTGCCGGAGGCGGAATTGCCCCACCCTTGCCCGGTCAGACTAAGTAATCTGCTCGGGTTTGCTCTCAGGAGCTTTTGTTCCCTGCAAGCTTTCTGTACAGCTTTGGAGGACAAGAGTGAACATGGCAGCCTCCCAATCTCCGCCCTGGAGGAGCTGAGAACGCGGGGCCCCGCTCCTCAATGCGCCCCCAGAGAAAAGCAGTCAATCATTCCCGTCTTGCCGGTCTCCGGCCGCACTCCGTGCTCACCTGGCCTGTGACTGAGCGTTTCTATCTCTGGCTCATGACCCCGTGTGGAGTCTCCAAACCCAGCAGATCCCTGCGGTGTGCTTCCGCGCTGCTCCTCCCGGGGGAGGAAGGGGAGTCTCCCGGATCTGCCACTTGTTGGGTCCCTGCTGGAGGAGCAGTGGCCCGACTGGGCCGCGGATCACAGTGTATGGCAACTCAAGCTGAGAGCCCGCGCCTCGGCTCCATCTCTGCAGCCGGCTTCCCTGCTCTGATACCTGGGAGCTCTGCCGCACTCAGGCACCCCCGGTCTTTCTGTGACCCCGAGGTCCTGAGACCACACTGTCCTGCGAGGGTTCCACCCCCCGCTTAGCCACTGGAGTGACATCCCTCAGCGTAGCCGACCTCTAAAAGTTCCAGTTTTGTGCTCCGCGGCTCTATCACTTGCCAGAAGCGGCCGACGGAGGCCCCCTTCCCCTGCCGTCTATCTTCCCAAGTATCGCCTCGGATTCACTTCTCCGCACATCCTACCTTCCAGAAAGTGGTCGCTTTTCTGTTCAGAGAGTTGCTGCTACTCTTTTCTTCGATCTCCTGTTGAGTTTGTAGGTGTTCAGAATGCTTTGATCCCTATCTAGCTGAATTCCTGGGACCAGATGAAATTTAGGTCTCCTACTCCTCCGCCATCTTGCTCCCCCTCCCCCCCCATGCTGAAGTTTTTTAAAAAGATAACTCTGTATTTGGGTCAGAGGCTTGATTGGTTGCCAAGCTACCATTAATTTTATAATAATTAAATTGTTCATATTAATATCCAAAAAATAATATACTAAACCTCCCTAAAATCCAAAGATTCTAGCAGCTTTTGCATTTCTAGCTGGTAGGAATTTCTCTATTCTATGATACAGGTTAAACATTTACTCATTTAACAAATATTCCCAGGCTGTCTATCATGTGTCAGGCATTATTTTAAACATTGGGGATTCAGCAGGACACAAAAACAGCCAAAAATCTTTGCCTTCATGGTGTGAGAGACAACAATAAGCAAGATTAAAAAGTATGTTAGTGAAAGGTACTAAGGAAAAAAGTATAGAATAGGAAGCATGAGGTGGGATACAGTTCTAGGCAGATTGGTCTGGGAAAGAGTATGAAGAAGTGACATTTGAGAAAAGATCTTGGGGAAGACTTTTCATGGTCTCAATACATTATATGTTGTAAATTAATTCTGACTCAGAGTTGAAGTTTAACAAGGTCGTGTGTAATTTCACCTAAGCCACATTTTGAGAGTCCCCTGTCCTACCCCCCACTTCCTAGGGATGGTTGGGGTCCTCAGGGTTTCTGTCTTCCTCCTCCAAGTATGTTTCCAACCCCTCATCTTACTCCAGCCTGGTTGCTCCTGAGGTCTCTGTGTCCAACCCTACATGGTTCCTTTGAGGGGCCAGGTGTGGGTACAGGAATCTTTTGCTATGGCTAAGAAGCCAAAATTTAATTTTGTCACCCACGCATCCAAATGCTATCTCATCAGAGGGGTTCTCCCCTGTGGGCATGTTACCAATGAACTGGGGAGACCCTGGGCCCTGGGGCTTTGACCCAGCCCATCACAAAGATGATGCTGAAGGTTCTTGGCTTCCTCATGAGAAAGAATTCAAGGACAGACACAACACAGTGGACGAGTGACACAAGTGGGAAGTTAATTAAAGCTCAAGTATATTCTCCAGATGTTAGAGCAGTCAACCTGAAGAGAAAGCTCTGCACCCTGGGGTTTGGGTTTCTATCTTTTATTGACCGTTGCCAACTAGGGAGTGCAATATTCCTTACTTGGGGCAGGGATTTCTTGGAAGCAGGGTTTTGACTTTTTCTTCCTTATTTGGTCAGAAGTTTCCTGTCATGGCATCCACCATCTTGGGCCTGCATGGTTTGGTATGGCTTCTTGTGGAGTGCTACCAGGACAGGCCTCTGACTTTCCTGATAGCTGGCCATGGCTTCCTCATTGGCTTCAGGTATCCTGTTAGAATCTAACTAACTGCCTATTCTAACAGACACAAGTCTGGGGTACTCTGGGAATTCCTCCCCAAACTCCCAACCCATCTTTAGTCTAGATGTCCCTCATGATGGGGCTGCTTCTCTTCCTCAAGTTTCAGCATATATCTTTCTAACAGCCCTTCTCACAGCCCAAGCACCCAAACAAAAGCCTGGATGGTGGTTTTCCAGGTGTCTCTCTACCTTCGTTTTTAACCTCCAAGGTCATGGTAGCAAGGAAGTTACCTTTTTAAAATGGAATCTCAGAAGGAGAGCCCTTATTCCTTTGAGTCTTACTAAGGACAAAACAAAATTAATGTCTCAAATTACTTTGCCATGCATTCAAATAATGAATGTGGTCAATATGAATTATTTTTATTTGTTAATATACTCAGAATTGTTTGAAAAATACTTCTGTTCCCCTTTGGCCTATTAGCATTATGATTATTTGTGCTTGAATTTGGCGGCGGGGTTGGGGGTGGGGGAGACATTCCTTTAAGAATGTTGTTACCTGGACTATTTTTTGCTATCTTTCCCTGCCCTACCGGTTGGGGGGTAGATTTATAATAGCTCAATTTATGTAAAAGACCAGTAAATGTGGAGATGGAGTTGATAGTGGCCAACAGAGAGATTAGGAGACTAAAATAGAGGGGTGAGGGTCAAATGGAAGAAAAGTAGGAGTGGAAGAAGGGAGAAGAACAGGAAAGGAGATGGAATACTGAGAAACAGGGAATGGAAGGGACAGAGGAGAAAATGAAGTTAGACACTCAGGATGAAGGAATGAAAAAAAAGAAATCTAAAATAAGGAGTGAGGACAATAAAGAAACAAGTGAGGAACACTGACTCAGTGTTAAACTCATACAATCTGAAGGTCAGAAGTTTGATATGGGTGTCATTGGGCAAAAATCAAGATGGTGGCAGGGCTGCATTTCTTTTTTTGGAGGCTCTAGAGCAGAATCCATTTCTTTAAGTTTTCCAGCTTTTAGAGGTTGCCTGCATACCTTGGTTTATGGTCCCTTTCCTCCTCGAACTTCAAAGCATATCTCTGACCATTCCTTTTTTTTTTTTAAGATTTTATTTATTTATTTGAGATAGAGAGTGAGAGCCAGGAGACAGAGGGAGAGGGAGAGGGAGAAGCAGACTCCCCACTAAGCAGGGAGCCCAGTGTGGGGCTCGATCCCAGGACTCTGGGATCTGAGCCACTCAGGCGCCCCTCTGATCATTCTTCTATAGTCATATCTCTCTCATAGCCAGGAAAGATTCTCCATTTTTGAGGAGCCATGTGATTAGATCGTGCCCACTTGGATAATCCAGGATAATCTCCCTATCTCAGAATCCTTAATAATGACATCTGCCAAGTGCCTTTTGCCACAAAAGGTGATATAGTCACTATTTCTGGGAGTTAGGATAAATACATCTTGGAGGGGGCATCATTGTGCCAGCCACAAAGATTATGTAGCCCTAATTGGAACCCTCTGTGTCAATCAAAAAATCAAGCAGTATACTACCAGGTGGGTGTATTTCCAGGCTAGGAAACATCACATGTGTTTTAGCATCCATACCATTTAAAATGTAGAAATAGAATGTCATTTATTCTCAAAGAATTAAGATATGTGTATTTTGGTAAAGAAAAAGGCATACTTTTTTTTTATTATGTTCTTATGTAAAACAGCAAAAAATAAATGGATGAACTTTGAAACCTTATACAAAATCCCTTACTCTGGTAACCTGGAGCCCAGGACTAGGTAGTAAGCCATTGAAGTGCTGGTTCATGGTGAGCATGTTTCTTCTTGGTGCTTCTCTGCTAAGATGCTTATGGATTCAGGATAACCACAGGTGACTCTGGATGGCAGCTTCAGTTGACCCCCCACATGATGCCTAAGTGGCCTCTCTTCGATGGAAAGTTGATCCTTGTTTCTATGTAGCTAAGGGGCATTCTGTAGATTCATTCCCTCATTCATACACATTCATGTCCTTAACATTTACCACACATCATTGTAACCAGTAATTAGCCCTTGATGGGGAACATTAATAAGAATCCCCTTATGAATTTAATTCCACCATCTGATTCTGATTCTGATTCATGCCCTGTTCCCATCTTTCGACTCTTGTACCAGCTCTCTGGACAAGCTGGGAGTAGAAGTAAAAAATTCCATGTAAGAAAAATGAGGTCTGGGAGAGAAAAAGGAACTTTGTGATTTACAGGTTGCAATTCAAAAATAGCCCTGACCTTTTTGCTTAAAAAGACTCCAGGAAGGAAATGTAGTGGCTCAAATTATTCACAGACAGGGCTATTTATCTTATGTTCCCTTCAAATGGAAAGTAGCCCTTGTTTGTTGAATACAGAGTTCCACGCACTTGCTGGTCACTGTTAGTACTAGGTATCTTCATGGGTTTTGTTGGGTAAGAGTTTATCTACATAAGAAGTCACATTATATTTGTCTGTGTATAAACATATACAAATTCATGTAAAACCACTTCGATATTTGTCAAACACTTGGCTTTGTAGAGTATTTTTACCTCAGCTATTTCATCTTGTCTCACAGCAACTTGGAAGGTGATCAGAGCAAATAGGAAAACGGAGTCAGAGTAATTAGCCATATAATTCTCATCTCACTTGGTCACAGGGCCAGGTAGTGAGAGTTTAGATTAGAATCAGCTTTCCTAACTTTCCAACCAGGGCTTTTCATACTTGATTGTCAATTTAAAAAAATTCCAGTAACTCAAGAGTTAAAGCAGAGTTTTAATGACTTCAGAATTGTCAGAGCTGTAACACCAATTTTCACTTACAATGTGTATTTTAGGATTATTTGACTGTAATTTGGTGGTGGTGGGAATAAGGAACAAAGAAGATGGCATTTCATGCAATGTTATATAAAAACATAACAAGATCTTGAAAACTGCAATATTATATAAAGAACTAAGAAAAAACACTTTCTGTACTATTTTAGAACATGGTTTTAGGACATGGCTTTGACCATATAATGAATATAAGGATCAAACAGTAAATGCAGACATGACCTTTGAGCTTAATTGTTCAACATGCACAGAGCTGAGCATTTTCTGGTAACTGTAATTATTCCCACCAAAAATGGGGTAAATAATATGCCTTTAAATCTAAAGTTAAGCTGTAGAGTTTAGAATTCTACCTTTTACACTACATGTTTCTTTTCCTTGCTCTGTCTAATCTAGGTCAGTTGTACAAAAAATGTTTTTACTTAAAAATGGTCAACATATTTTGGGGGGCTGGTTTGGACTCAGTACGATTTTCTGGATCATTTATAAAATTTGACCAGGTTGAAATTTTGTTTTGTTTTTTTATGCCAGTCTAAAAGTACACAAAACCTGTTTCTTCCTGGTTTTACTCCTCAGTTTTCAGTAAATAACAACTTTTAATCTTTCAAAGATATACCTTAAAATTAAGTGATTTGTCTTTTTTACCTAATAATTTCTTCCTGCCTCTTGAAATATTTCTGTAGCCATATTAAATATTGGCAGGAAAAAATCTCCACACACACAAAAAATTCCTCTTAGGTTTCCATGTGTATTTTGCTGATGATATTTGTGGCAGATAGGATTATTGTATTCAGTTAAATAGATGAAAAGTGGCTTCTGTTTGGAATGCTACTTTTGTCTGTAATGAATTAGATCTGGGTCACATAAAGGGCAGGCTCATGAAACCTGTCCAGCGCCACCATCTTACCTCATGCAAGGAGCATAAAACAACTCTTCAGGCTTTTATTCATCAAAATGGAATGTGTTTCATTAGGAATTCTACTCAGAGTGAGACTGCATACTGAGAAAATTATGTAGCAATCATCTTTCCCTAACCTAAAAAATAAAATACGAATGTGGAAAAGTTCACAGCATTTCACATCCCTTACCCTGCCCCACCCATGACCACCTGGTGACATGGTTTAACCAAGAAGGGGTACTGTGGACCCTCAATGGTCTCAATATTAAGAGTCTGTGCAATAACTTCGAGGTCCTTCTCTGATTAGCTGTGTTTTCTCATTTGCATTTGTAGGCTGGAGAACAACTGGAAAGTCCACATCTAAAAATAAACAAAGCAAAGCAATAAACACCCTCTGATCATGTTACATTTCCTTTAATGGGGCAAGTGGTGGATATTTTTGTTGAAATGATGATTGACAAACCAATTCATTTCATAAGATATTGAGGATGCCTGCCCTTTAAAGGATTTCAAAAGAGAGGAGACACTGTCTTTACCCTTCAGTTGAGTTCTGTCAGTTATAGAATTAGGAAACTAAAGCACTGAACCCAACTTTCAAGTTCAGGCAATTGCTTAACCTGGTGAACCTGACCTTTAGTTTTCACCATCATGTGGGGATGAGGACAGGTCCATCACATATGTCGTATAGACCCTAGTGTATATCTGTATTAAAAATGCCTCTTAAAGTTGTTCAGTGTACAATTACATATATGGCCCTGGTTGGGAGAGAGGTCAAAGCCCAGAGCTTGCTTAGATGACAGTCTAATAGGAAGCTCCCCACATAAAGCTAGTATCCAAAATGGTTATGCACTCTCTAAGTCACCATACCCCTAAATCTACAAGGAAATTTGTTAGTCTTGAGTTTTGGTGCTGAGGTAAAAGAGGAAAGAACTTCCCTACAAATATTTAATGGCAAGCCAATGAGCACACATATTGGCAGACCAAATTTAAATATCTATATTTTCTAAGAAATTGCAAGCTGATAGTTTAATTTAAAATGGTCCAGTATAAGATGTGCTCCCAAGCACCTACCAGAAGAGGATGGCCCCATCTTCAACCCAGACCTCAAAGAATCACTGAAATATTGCTAAAACACATGAACTCAAGGTAAAAATGAATAGGGGAGATAGAGTTAGAGAAATAGAGACCCTCAAAAAATAACTAAAAAATTATAAGAAACATGAACTCAGTAAAAAAACAGGGAGAGAGAGCGAGAGAGATTGAAATATTGAGAAGGAAAGAGTGAAAGATTACACACAAAAACAATGCATACTGAGAGCTAGTAGAAACAATAGAAGGCCAAATCAGACTCAGAAAGACTTCAAATCCTGCACTTTTAAGACACAGAATTAAAAAAAATTTTATGTGTTTAAGTGACCAAGTGGATTTTGAAACTAATACAAAAGAACTTGAGATCAAAATATCTGAAAATTTCAAAACCTGATGAATGTGTTTAACAGCTAAAGAGAATTAATGAAGTGGAAGACAGATCTGAGGAGGTTAATCAGAATGTCACACAGAGAAACACAAAAATAAATTGAAAGAGGCTAAAGGACATGAAGAATAGAATGATAAAGTCTAACATATCTGATAAAACTTTCATAAAGTAAAAGAAAAGTTTAGAGGCAATATTTGAAGATTTAATGGCTAAGAATTTTCTAGAAAGACACCAATCCACAGATTCAAGAACCAGACAGGATAAATTAAAGAGAAACTCATATTTAAAACATTTTAATGACTTTGAAAAACACTAAAGACAATTTTTTTTTTTAAGAGGGAGAGGGGTGGGGGAGGAGCAGAGGGAGAGAGAGAGAATTTTAAGCAGGTTCCATGCCCAGCACAGAGCCTGATGCAGGACTCACTGTGGGGCTCCAAAGGGGGCTCTATCTTACAACTCTGAGATCATTACCTGAGCCAAAATCCATGAGCCAAAATCAACAGTTGGATGCTTAACTGACACCCCCTCAAAGACAATGGTTTTAGCAGGAATCTTATTTCTCAATAGCAAATATGGAAGCCCAAAAATTATGGAATTATAATTTTAATATGCGAAAAGAAGTTATCAACCAAAGTTTGTTTACAAACGGTCTTAGTGTTACTTTTTTTAAACCATGATAAAAAGGCATTTTCAGACAATAAAAATGGAAATTGTGCCACCAACAGATTCAGTTTAAAAGCTGTAATTCAGGCACAAAAAAAGTGTTAGTAGATGGAAAGTTTGTGCTGTAAGAAGGAATGATTAGTAAAGAAAATGGTAGGTATATGAATAAAAATAAGGGATTATTGACTATATACAGCAATAATAATAATGTAGGAGACTTAAAATTAAGATAAAACTAGAATACAAGAATAGTGTATAAATGAAAAAGGAAGTGATCAGAGTTAAAATGTTAAAAAGTTCTTGTATTGTTCAGGAGGGGGTAAAGATAAGAATTAATTCTAAACTTTGATAACAAGTATGCTTGATAAATGTTACCCTAAAAGAACAGGGCAGAGAATATAATTTCCAAACTGGAGGAGGGAAAGGAATGAAATATGAAAAAAATATTCTATCATCAAAAAGAAAAAATAAACAGAAAAAAATGTCAATTTAAAGTGATAATTAAAAAAATAAAGTAATAACTAAATATAACTAATTATAAGTATCTAGCCCTAGTTACTCAGGTAGTCAATAATAGAGCTGGTATTCAGACCTAGGCGGTATTTCCTAAGTCTGTTCTCTTAAAAACTGTGCTATACTAGCTCTCATGAAAGAGTAAGTTAGTAGAAAAAAAATCAAAATATATCATTAATTATAATAAATAAAATGGACTTAATACCTTTTTAAAAAGAAAAATGTTCCCAAACTGAATAAATCTCACCCCCTACCATATGTTGTTTATAAAATACACATCAAAAAAAATAAGAGCAAAATAATTGAGAGTAAAAAGATGTAAACATCTTTACCACACAAACACTACTAAAAAGAAAGCTAATGTAACTATATTTTAACAAAGTAAAAGACAAGAAGCATTGATAGAGCTAAAGAGTAACTATGTAATATAATATTCAGTTCACCAAATAGCTATTAAAGTTCTAAACTTATATATGCTAATAAAATAGCCTCAAAATACATGAAGCAAAATTGATAGAATTTTATAGAAAAATAGAGAAATCCATCATCATAGTAGAAGATTTGCATGCTTCTTTCAGTAACTGATGAAGCAAACAAAAAATTCTTTAAGGATATAAAACATTTGATAAGTACAGTGTTCTGGACTAAATTGTGTCACACAAACTGCCCCCCCCGCCCCAGTTCATATGCTGAAGTTCTAACCCCCAGTACATATGCTGAAGTTCTAACCCCCAGTACCTCTAATGTGAATCATATTTGGAGAGAGCGCCTTTAAAGAGGTAATTAAGTTAAAATGAGGTCCTCAGGGTAGGCATTCATTCAATATAACTGGTGTCATTATAAGACAAGGATATTAGGACATAGATACATGGAGGGAAGACCATGTGAAGACATGAGGAGAAAATGGCCATCTACATGCCAAGAAGAGAGGCCTCAGCAGAATTCAACCCTGTCACACCTTAAACTTTGACTTCTAACCTTGAGAATTGGGAGAGAATAAATTTCTGTTGTTTAAGCCACCCTGTCTGTGGTACTTTGTTAACAGCAGCCCTAGCAAACTAGTACATATAATAAATTGGATTTATTTAATAGTCATATATGAAACAGTGAAACTAAAAAATGCAGAATGTATTATTTTGAAGCAATGTGGAACATTTATAAAAATTAAGTTCTAGGATGTAAAGCAAGCCTCAAGATATTTTGAACTATTGAGTCATGTTTTCCATAATTTCTGATCACAATGCAATTAAGTTAGACACAAACAACAATAAAGAACCTGAAAAATCCCCACAGGTTTACAAATTAAGACACATATAGGCCTAACTTATAGTTCAAAGAAAAAATTATGAAGTGGGGGAAAGATGGCAGAGGAGTAGAGGACCCTATTCCAACCAAGCCCCAGAACTGAGATGGATGTCTACCAGACCACTCTGAACACCCACGTAAGAAGATAGATCTGGATCTCCACAAACAGAATATTGCAGGTGGTTGGTTTTGAGGTATGAAGTGGGGAGCTGTGATTCCGGGCACATACCAGAGGATAAATGGAAGGGGGAGGGAGCCCAGTTATCGGGATCCTATACCTCCAGTGAGTGATAGCCTCCCATGGTGGGGACTGGGCACAGACTTGCAGACCAGTACTGATGGGGAAAGGACTTTAGGGCAGTCCTCCGGACGGAAACCCAGAGCGGCAGGGCCGCACGTGAGAACTGGGGGTGGCTGGTGGTTTTAGAAGCACAAAGGGCAGAGATGTGCCCCAACCTGGAGGCGAGGACTGGGAGCAATGCTGAGGGGCCCACAACCCAGGATGCTGCAGTTTATAGCAGCACAGACAGAAACGGAGAGAGTGTGGCCTGGAGAGCTCACTGAAGAACAGACTGTGATCTCTCCGCTCTGAGGCAGTCTTCTCTGACTCTCGGAAGAGACATGGAAAGCCGCCAGGGAAAGCCGCCAGAACAGAACAAAAGCCCCCCAAAACCGGTTTTCACTGAGCCCATCCCCCACCACAGGGGGCAGGGTAACTCTGCCCAAACAGGGTTGCCTGAGTAACAGCGTGGCAGGCCCCTCCCCAAGAAGACAGGCTGGGAAAACAAGAGGCCAGCAACCCTAAGGTCCCTAGAAAACAGGTGTGTCTTACTTGGGTTGTGGTCAATAATTTGGACTCTATACATTCCCTCAACCACCCCTCAACAGGATGACTAGGAGGAAGAACCCCCAAAATAGGAAAGACTCAGAGACTATGACTTATGCCACAGATTTACAAATGGATTCAGATATACCAAGATGTTGGAGATGGAATTCAGGCTAGCAATTATGAAGACAATAGCTAGAATGGAGAAATCAATTAATGGCAACACAAAGTCTCTAAGGGCAGAAATGAAAGCTGAATTGGCAGAATTTAAAAATGCTATCAATGAGATCCAATCTAATCTAGATAATCTAACAGCTAGGGCAAGCGAGGCAGAAGAACGAATTAGTGACCTAGAAGACCAATTAATAGACAAAAAGGGAAAAGAGGAGGCCAGGGAAAAACAACTCAGAACCACAGAACACTCATGAAAGAAATTGAGGAAGACACAAAAAGATGGAAAAACATTCCATGCTCATGGATTGGAAGAATAAACATTGTTAAAATGTCTATGCTACCCAGAGCAATCTATACTTTTAATGCCATCCCAATCAAAATTCCAATGACATTTTTCAAAGT